AAGGAGGGATCACTATGTCAGAATCGACCTGATGGCAGAGAGAGTAAGTGAGTCTCAGGTGACTCATAGCAAGCTCTGAAACAAGGCCAACGGTACAAATGGCATCCAGCCCTCCTACCCGCCCCACATAGCTTTTAACTCTGAGTTTCTGCAGTTTTCCTCTTTAAGGAAAACTGGAAAAAAGATCAAAATGGAAAGGAAAGCAGGGAAGCAAACTGCGCTATTGGAGAGATAGCGTGGGCGCTGTCACTGTGGAACCCAGCCCACCCTCCAACCTAGACGGGGATTTCCACCCGAGTTATCAAAATAAAACCCGTTGCCATTGCATCGTTTCTGACTCAAAGCAACCCCAGTGGCCAGTGGTTAAGCACTCTGCAGCCAACCGAAAGATCGGTAGTTCAAATCCACCAGCTGCTGTCTGGGAGAAAGATCCAGCAATCTGTTTCCATAAAGATTATAGCCTTGGCAACCCTATGGGGAAGTTCTACTCAGTCACATTGGGTCTCCGTGACTTGAAATTGACTCAACAGCACCCAACAACACATTTTTTTCATTCACTCATCAACAAATAAGGACCCTGCTAACTGAAAAGTCAAAGTGTGAACCAACCCAGTGACTCCACAGGAGATAGCTCTGGTGATCTGCTTCTGTACAGTTCACAGCCTGGAAAACCCTATGGGCAGTTCTACTCTGTCACACGGGGTCGCTGTGAGTTGGAACTGACTTGACAACACTCAACAATAACAACCACGGCAGGGACCGTGGAGCTGTGGCAGGTGACATTTCTACAGGGTCACCTCAGCCGGTTGTGCTTAGACCCGTAATCACCAAAAGTACGCAAGCCGAGCTTCCTCTCCCCTTCTTCTTTCGCTGGCCCATTCCACACTGAGTCCCTCCTCCCTTCTCTGGTGGGTATAATCCTGCTGTTTGTTCAAGACCCAGCCTGACTCCTGTCTACCACTATCCTAGGTCCACCTGCACCATCATCTAGTCACGGGCCTCCCACCTCGATTGGGCAGCTGGTGTTGGTGTGCCTCTTTGGCTTCACACTTGCCCCTCCGGTCCGCTTTCCACCCAGCGACCAAGGTCTAAATCAGAGCCTGGATCCTGAGTTCACTTCTCTCCAGGCAGCCTGGGCAGTTTCAGTTCCTCCAACTCATCACACACACACACACACACACACTGCCCCTCACACCCTGCTCTTCCTCTGCCTGAGGGTTCTCTCCCCCACTCTTGATCCAACTAGCTCTTACTCACCCCAAGGCTCAGCTTCCACAGCTACTTGTTCAGGGAACCTCCCTGACCCTCATCCACCACCACTTCCCAACGAGATGCATAACTTCTCATAACTTCCTGTATTTGTAACATCACAGCACTTGGGACAAGTCGGAACCCTGCATTCATTTCTGTGACTATTTGACTGAAGTTTGCCTCCTCAACTAGAATGGAAGTGCCACAGGGTCAGAGACTGATCTGGCCACTGGTCTACGCCCAGCAGACAGTCGGTGCTCAACAGTCTTGAAAATGAAGAATGAACGGCTTCCCCGATTCCTCTGACTGCAGCAACTCACTCTATCTCTGCTCCCACCGCTCACTGCTGACTCGAGGCAGTTATTTTTGTCAGTGGCCACTGAGTCAGCTCCCAACTCATGGTGACTCGTGGGATCAGACCACTGTAATCCATGGAGTGTTATTTGGCTGATTTTTAAAGGAGATCACCAGGCCTTTCTTCCAGCCTCTCTCAGACTAGAAGCTCTGTTGAAACCTGTCCAGCACCCTAGCAGCACATAAGGCCCCACCGACAGACGGCGGGTGGCCGGCTTGAGGGGCATTGACCGGGAATTGAACCCAAGCTTCACACACGGAAGGCGAGAATCTACCACTGAACCATCGGTGTCTGCCTCCCCACCCCTACCCACAAACCGCCAGTGTAGATCAGCACGCGGCGTTCTGGCGGGCGTAAGATTCCCCTAACCCAGTTATCATCGCCGTGACAGCAGGCAGCCCTGATACTTTTTGCCTTTGGTTCTCCAAGCTCCTCCTACTTCTTCCTTCCAAAAGCTTATTACTTTCCCATTGGTCCTGCTATGGTATGAAGATGAACATTTAGGGGAAGATGTCCTTTCTGGAAATTGGTTAAGGACTGCTCTTCCACTGTATGGAATCAAACTCCCTGTAATCCCAGGAACCAATATGTGAATGTTCGTTGCCCTGCTTCATCTCTTAAATACGTACGCAAACACACGAACACCCTGTTTAAAAATGCCTTGGGAGTGGCCTCAGCAGCAGCTACAATGGCCATTAGCGTTCCTTGCGTGGCTTGTCGTTGTTTCCCAGTTGTCTCTAGAGCGTTAGCCGGGCCAGGGATGGAAGTGCACGGTGCATGTTTGCTGCTGCCATTATCCTCTCTCATTCTCCCCACGTGGCCAGCCCTCCTGGCCAGCCTGTCCCGAAGAGCCTGACTGGCTCCAACTGGACTCTTTCTTCTCCATGCTTAGGCTCATTATCTCCAAGTCGTCCAAGGATGAGGGAAAGGAGTCTGGCGATGAGCCACCTGCCTTGGCTACGATGGTCGGGGACAGGCTCTCCAGGAGGTGACTCTCGAGCTGAGGCCCGAGCACGGGAAGGGGTCAGCCATGCGGAGATCTGGGGGACAGAGTGTTCCGGGCAGAAGCAACAGCAAAGGCAAAGGTCCTGAGGTGGGAGGCAGCTTAGTGCATCTGCAGAGAGTGAGAAACCAACAAGGGGGTGTGTGGAATTAACGAGGCCCAGGGTAGTGGGTGGTGAGGCCAGGTCGTGCGGGGCCTGAGGCCACAGTAAGGAGTTTAGGTTTTACTCCGAGTGCAGTTTTGCACAACTGGAAAATTTTAAACAACAGGCCAGTGTGAACTGACTGAAGTGTGTAAAATATGCAACATGGAGCTAGTAAGGGGAAGGGTACAAGAGTGGCTGTGAGCAGACTAGTTAGAGCCCCAGTGACCTTGGACAAGTCACCTGATCTGACTCTCAGTTTCCCCATCTGTAGAATAGGGGTGAGAAAAGACTTCCGAGGTCTCTGAGGATTAAATGACAGACCAGCTTCAGGGCACCCAACATAAAATCAGTCCCCGGTCCGTGTAGTTCACTGCTTCCCCGCCTTTGGGGGTCAGGAACTCCCCAATTCCTCCCACGTGTGTTTAATTCCTCTTAGTAACCAAACTTAGATGGTCTTTGCTCTTCAAACTCTGGGGCATTAATGGGTTGCAGGAGGTGTTGGAATGCACTCTCACTTATCATGAAATGTTGTAGGGTAGGGAGTAGCACGAGCACAAAGTAGGAGGGTCTCCCACTGGGAGCGTGCCTCCTCTGAAGGTGTGCGCTGTTACACCAGGGCCAACGGGACACAAGCGACTCCGGAATGGACCTGCCACCGTCCATCTTGGACAGCGTGGGTGTCCGATGGGGAGGAGGGTGAGAAAAGCCAGTTGTTCTCGGAGGAAGCATCCCCGCCTTCCACAGGAGGCAAATCCACCCACTAAGCTGCAGGCTCTCCAGTGACATTACAACAGCTGCCACACTGCAGCAACTGCTCTGTCTAAAGACACACCCACCTTCTTTCTAGACAGATGCAAGCACATTTCAGATGATGGGTTTTCCTCTTAAGACTTTTTTCCCCTATGACTTTACATTTGGTATTATCTTTTGTTGTTGAGAATATACACAGCGTAAACCATACATCAATGTGGCCATTTTTATGTGTACAATTCAGTGACACTGGTTATATCCTTGAGTTGTGCAACTACTCTCACCCCCCTTTTCCGAGCTGTTCCTCCCCCATTAACGTAACCCCACTACCCCCTAGGATTCCTATGTAATCTTTTAGTCGTTATCAATTTGATCTCATAGAGAGAGTTCTTAACACAGCACAATGCTGAAGGGAGAGATTCTTTACCAGTGAAGCCAAACTATTGCTTGGTTTAAAGAAGACTCCCGGATAGTTTTGGTTTCAGATTTAAAGACCCTCTCAGGGCAATAGTTCTGGGTATTCATCCATCCTCATTGGCTCCGGGAAGTCTGGAGTCTGTGAGATTTTGAAATTCTGTGCTGCATTTCTCCCCTTTTGATCAGAATTCCTTCATAGACTCTTTGATCAAAAGGTATCTCGCGAGAACTGACGATCAGTTGGATCTGGTGTTTGTATGTTCCCTTTTCTTCTCAATGTAGATTGTTAAAGCATAATTTTCAAAAAAGGTAAAATTGTGACTCATGCAAATATAAAGTGAGCATATGTCAGTGATTTCATTCAACGTTACTGAAGCATAGTAAGAGGGTGGGCAGGGGGCCAAAGAAATTGCCCATGGCCTCTTTACCCTACTGTAGAAATAGGAACTCTCGCCTTGCTGCTAGAGTCCCTAGGCTAATGTGCTCAGCTGCTAACTGAAAGGTTAGAGGTTCGAGTCCACCCAGAAGACTTGAACCTTGGAAGAAAGGCCTGAAAATCTACTTCCAAAACATCAGTCATTGAAAACCGTCTGGCACACACAGTTTTGCTCTGATCCAAGGAGTGTTGTTAGGAGTTGGAATCGACTCAAGGGCAACTGGTTTACCTTTCCCTTCCCCAAACTGGAAAATAGAGCCATTGCGTTTTCACCTTTGTACTCATATTCTATCCATCCATCAACCCAACAAGTGTTTAATGAACACCTACTACAGGCTGGGCTCTGAGGGTGCAGCAGACAAGGAAGGGGTAGGTGCTGTTCTTCCCTAGTCAGGAAGACAAACACTGAGTGGCTGTCCTTTAAGGAAATGACACAAATGTGCTAAGTACTGACATGGAAAGGTGTTGAAGGAACAACAGGGGAACTGGTTGAGCCTGGGTGGGGATGTCAGAAAATCCTTTTCTAAGGAAGTGGCATTTAAGATGAGTCTGAGACATGAGTGGGGTATCACTGGGTGAAAGGTTGCTGAGGGTTTGGGGTGGAGGGAACAGCCTGTGTGGAGGACTCAAGCCCCCAGAGGGCATGGCGCTCCCAGAGGCTGGTGAGGAAGTGATACCCATGAGGCCGGAGGTGTGGGTAGGAGCACAATCATACAGGGCCTCGAGATTTGGGCTTCATCTAAAGCATACTGGGAGCCACGGACGGGTTAGAGAGCAGAGGAAGACTTCCCCGGGGCTGGGACACTTCATCTGAAACTCCAAAGATGGGAAAGAATAAACCAGGCAAATGGTAGGGCAAGATCCTCTGGGGTGGAAGGAATGAAATAAGAGGTAGCTATGAGCTCTGGTAGCGACTGCTAACCAGAAGGCTGGCAGTTCAAACCCACCAGTCACTCTTCAGAAGGAAGGTTGGGCAATCTACTTCAGTAGTGATACCACCTCGAAAACCCAAGGAGGGGTCACTATGAGTTGGATCTGACTCCACAGCAGTGAGTTTGGTTTCTTTTGGTATGAACTTGCTCTAACATTTGTTACTGGGTAGTGTGGCTGTGGAGTCCCCCTGTGCCATGAACGGCTAATGTGCTCTGCTGCTGGAGGTCGGAGGTTCAAGTCCACCCACCTCAGAAGAAAGACCTGTGATATGCTTCTGAGACATCAGCCATTAAAACCCTATGGGGTGCATGCATACCTGGGGTCGCCATGAGTCGGAGTTTTGGTCCTTGGTCATTTTCCATGGTTGGTAACGGTAACAGTGGAATCTCTTCTTCCCCCACCTCAGGCACTCTTGGCCAAGGCACTCTATGACAACCTTCCTGACTGCTCTGACGAGCTGGCTTTCTGCAGGGGAGACATCTTGACCATTCTGGAGCAAAATGTGCCTGAAAACGAGGGCTGGTGGAAGTGTGTGCTCCACGGCAGGCAAGGCCTGGCCCCTGCCAACCGCCTCCAGATGCTCACAAAGGCCCCTACAGACAGGCCCTGTGCCCCTCTCCTGGGAGGCCTGCAAGCAGCTCTGGCCAGCTCGGAGGAAGCCTACCAGGTGCCCTCCCTGCTTGGCCCTCCAACTCCAGGCCCCGTGTACGAGCATATGAAGAGCTGGGTTGAAGCGCCCCCGCCATCCACCGCCCAAGTCTACGAACTCCTTGACCGGCCTCCCAGGGCTAGAATTGTCTGTGAAAAGACTCTAAGCTTTCAGAAACAGGTAAGCATATGTCCAGACGCAATAGAGAGGTCACGGGTATGGAAACACCCAGAGCTTCACCACCCCTGGGGTCACTGGTCTCCACTGGAGAGACAAATATGCATGCAGTAACCCGGACCCCATTTGGGATTGGAGTGATTGGGTGAACTCTGTGTTTGACCGGGGCAAGGTGCCCAGTGGCCCCCACTTCAGTGCTCACGGTGCTTTTGGCTCTCCTGGGAGTCCCCTGCTCTCCAAGGCATGCCACACTCTGCAGGGAACTGAATGCTTGGTGGAGCTGTGCGCGATGGAGCAAACCAGGACTACAGGTGCTGAATGCTGTTGTTCTTGGGTGCCTTCTAGGCAATTCTGACCCATAGCAATCCTATAGGACAAAGTGGAACTACTCATAAGGTTTTCTAGGCTGTAATCTTTATGGGAACAAAGCACTCGGTCTTCCTCCTGTGCAGCCATTGGATGGGTTCAAACCAGCGACCTTTCAGCCAAGCACTTAACCATTGTGCCTCCAGAGCTCCTTTCATGATGAGTAAATCCACTGCCATCAAGTCGATTCCAACCCACAGTGACCCTGTAGGACACAGTACAATGCCCCCATAGGGTTTCCAAGGCTATAATCTTTACAGAAGCAGACTGACACATTTTTCTCCCACGGAGCAGCTAGTCAGATTTAAAATTTATATTCCCTTGACCCAGAAATTGTACTTCTAGAATTGCTACAAAAGAATGCCATGTGATGGTTAAGGCTATGTTCAACTTGGCTAGACCAATTCTAAGTGGTTGCAAATGTGTGATCATCCTCTATTTGTGATCTGATGTGAGCAGCCAATCAGTTGAAAGGGGAAGTTCCTTGGGATTGTGGCCTGCCTCCAATAGATATGGATTTCTGGCAAAGCTTGCTCTCTCTGGACCCTGCATCCAACTTGCCATCCTCTGAGCTGTGGTTCTTGGAACGTGAGCCACCAGCCTGCCATCTGACCTGTAGATCTTGGGTTCCTGAACCACTGCAACCATGTGAGACAGAGGAAGACTTCATCTCACGTGCTTTGGTCATGCTGTCAGGATGGACCAGTCCCTGGAGAAGGACATCATGCTTGGTGAAGTAGAGGGTCCGCAACAAAAGGGGAAGATGCTCAACGAGATGGACTGATGCAATGGCTGCGACTCTGGATTCGAGTACAGCCGTGATCGTGAGGGTGGCGCAGGACCAGGCAGTCCTCTGTTCTGCTGCACGTCGGCTCGCTCTGAGGTGGAACCCTGCTGGACAGCACCTCAGGGCGGGCACAAGAGAACCCAGCCCAGGGCCTACAGGAGGCAGATAAGGATCTCAACAAAGTAGGCCATGGTTGTTAGGTATTATTTGTTATAGGGAAGAACTAGAGATGCTTAAATACTCGTTAATGGGGGATTGGTTACATCAATCATGGTATATCCCAACAAGTTACTATGCAGTTGTGGGGGAGAGAGGAGGCAGGTGTATGAGGTTGAGGTCGTTATAAGTAGGAAGAAAGAGCTATTTAAATAAAAACCAACTAACAACCAAAAAAAAAAAAAAAAAAATCTGCGTGTGTGTGTGTGTTCACATATAAGGAAAATTCTACATATAGGGAAAATTCTAGAAGCACACACACCCGGTTGCTAACGGTGGTTACTCGTGGGCAGTGGAGTTGGTTAAGGAGAAAGCGAAAGGAGGAGTGATCAGGGACTTTCTTTGTTTCGTTCCTGTGTCCCCAGCAACAGGGGCCGTGCCTGCACAGGAGGGACAGTCAGTAAACACAGACAACACACAGATAACAGACTAAGAAATCCAGCTGCACGCCATGTTGGATGCTACATCTGTAACCATTTTTAGTATCAGTCTTTTAAAAAGAAGAAAATAAGAACTCAGTAAGTACAGAAGGAAAATATTTTCTACAAGGAGAAAAATAACGTATCACTTTCCCCAAAGCTCTGGGCTTCACGAGGTGTTAAGAATGCAGAACAGATTTGCCTGATCTTTGGTCACTGCTGGAATTTCCTGCCACCAGACACTTTACTCTCTGCTGAAATGACACATCCCACCTGGCCGCAGTTCTGGGCAGAGGTCCTGGCAAGGTCTGTGTCCCGGGAAAGCCTGCTCCCCCTGATGCAAGTGCTGTGGGGCCCCAGGAACGGGCATCTGGCCCCTCGGGCCTCCTCCACACCAACCTCCAATGTTTCCTTCAAACAGGAAGGTATTGGTCCCTTAAGCGGTTTTGAACACTGTATGCTGCAAGGCCTGGGAGGAGCTCTGGTAGCATAGTGCCTAAGGCACTTGACTGCCCACCAGAAGGCTGGCAGTTCTCCTCGGAAGGAAGGTTGGGCAATCCTATTTCCATAGTGATACTGCCTCGGAAACCCAAGGAGGGGTCACTATGAGTCGGGGCCGACTCGACGGCAAACAACAACAACAACATGCTGCAAGGCCAGAACCAGGCAGCTGTTACCCAGAACAGCCGCCCCAACAAGGCTCCGCTGCAGGCGCCAGAAGGCAGCCCGCCGAGTCCTCGGCAGGAGGTCAGGGTGGACTTTGCTGGAGCACCTGGCCCAGAGCCGAGCCTGCACGGCCAGCTGACGCCTGCGCAGCTGCTCAAAGCCTTGGCTGTTTCCTCCAAGAACAAGAGACATTAGTCGAATTTTTCCTTTAATTAGAATTTCTTTTCAAAACCATCATGTGACCAGCATGATGGCACTGGGGAGAGGAAGGACCCCGAAACATGCATGTGAGATACAGACACCAGAGGCGGACGCTGTTACCTGCACACTACTGACCACCACTAGCCCCAAACACCAGGCCACGGATAAACGCACAGACAGATGAAAAGATCAGGTGGGGGTGGTGAACAGGAACGTAAAGAGAAAAAAAAACCAGCCCATTGTCCCCCATCCCTTAAAGTAAAGCAGACATGATGTCCGCTGCTTGCCGTGTGGCCCCTGTACCCAGCCTGGGCCAGGCTTCTCCCCTTGCTCAGGAAGTACTTATGGAATGAATGCAAGAACAGGATCAGCATAAGGCTTCGTGACCTCGGGCCTCCCAGGGACCTCCAGACTGACAACAGTGTGAGAGGAGGGACAGGGACAGCTCTCCAACCTCCGCGCTCTGTGAGCTGTTCTAACGTGGTACGAAGCCTCGGGCCGCTCCTTGCCCTGTGGCCTTGCCTGTACCGGCTGAGGCTCGCAGAACCCACAGCCACCCCGGGAATTCAGACACTGGGCTGGGTGCTGTTCACGTGTGGTTCTTGAGGCGGCCACAGGAAAACACCCGGGGAACTTTCCTGCTCTTTCCTCCCTCCTTCGCTTCCCTCCGTGTCGGCCCAGCTACGTTTCTGCTCCCTCCTTACCCACCATCTTGTTCTCTTTGGCCTTCTCTGCGTTTGGGGTCACTTAAAGCAAGAGGTGTAGTTTGTGGCTCAGAAGTCAGGGTCCTGGGTTCAGGTGGATTCCAGGGAAGCCACAGATACGCTGTGTGACTGGGGACATCCCCCCGCCTGCTCTTCCTTCCCTGGGTGGTGCAAACATTGAATTTGCTTGGCTGCGAGCCACAAGGTTGGCCGTTGGAATGCACCCACAGGCTCCTCGGAAGGAAGGGCTGGCGATCTCCTCCCAAAAGCTCGCAGCTACGGGAAACCACGTGGAGCGCAGTTCTGCTCTGACGTGCGTGAGAGCACCATGAGTCGGAATCGACTCGGGGCAGCAATTTGTTGTTTCTTTTCTGCCTCTACACTAAAAACCAAAACCAAATCCACTGCTGTCGAGCCAATTCCAACTCATAGCAACCCATGTGACAGAGTCAAACCGCCCCATAGGGCTGTAAATCTTTACAGAAGCAGACTGCCTCATCTTTCTCCCGTGTGCAGACGGTGGGTTCAAACCACTGACCTTTCTGTAAGCTGTTGTTGTTGTAAGGTGTCGATGAGTCAGCTCCAACTCATAGCGACCCTGTGTACGACAGAACGAAACACTGCCCAGTCGTACACCATCCTCACAACCGGTTAGCAGATGAGTGTTAACCACTGCGCCACCAGGGCTTCTCCTTCTAAATCAAGGATGGTCCAAATTTAAACATGGAGTAAGATGACACATGTTACTTTCCTCAAGGTCTCATGAGGGACAGTCTATGCAGGGTTGTCAGGTGGCATCTATAGCTGGAAGAGTCCTCTGTGGGCCCCCAGATTTTTAAAAAAAGACTCTTCGTCTTCCAAATGAGGAATTGGTTCCCAGGCTGGTGAGAGGGCCCATCCACGGTTGAAACTTGGAGCTGGGGCTCAAGCTTCCTTTTCGTGTCTGTGCAGATCTGTCACTGTCACCGCCGTCCATGGCTGACTGTGCACAGCACGTCTCAAGCATCGTGGCTTGGCCCCCATCTTCACTCTGCAGCCTCCTGTGGCTGAAATATCTCTTCTGTCTCATGAAGTTCTTATTGACTGTGACGTTCAGATGTTAGGGGCACCGCTCAGTGAACACCCGTGACATGAACCCCCTTGAGTCACCATAATGCAGATGAAGAAATGCAACTGGTGCCTCAGAAGCCCCCTCCCACCTTCTCCCAGGCACTTCCCTCCCGGTGACCACTATCTGAGCTTTGTTTTACTTTTTATTCCAACTTCCTTAATGTAATACGATGACTTGGCTTTCAAAAATAACCACCTAAAGAACATGTTTGATTTTGGTTTAAATCAGAGACGGTATCTCATGGGCCTGTTGTTGTTGTTGTTGTTATGTGCCGTCGAGTCAGACCCGACTCATAGCGACCCCTTCTTGGGTTTCCAAGGCAGTATCACTACGGAAGTAGATTGCCCCATCTTCCTTCCGAGGAGTGGCTGGTGGGTTTGAACCACCAGCCTTCTGGTTAGCAGTCAAGTGCCTTAGCCACTATGCTACCAGAGCTCCCATCTCATGGGCCTAGGACCAGATTTCCCGATGAAATTGCTCTTGGACTGGACTTTCCTTCTGTCTCCCTAAACCTTTTGAAACCAAGATTCTGAAAAAAGGTTCCTTAATTGTCTGCCATCTTTAACCTACATCTTCCCAGAAATTCTGGGCATTTTTGAACTGGCTTCCTTCTGTGTGGGTTGCCTCTACAGCGGTAGCTCACACACACAAGAAAGTCCCTTTGCTCTCTGGAGGTGGTCTTGTAGCCATACACGACCCACGAGATCAGCTACAGACATCGATGGGCCTGAACTAATAGGGACCAATGGGCGAGGGAACAGCATTTGGAAAGGCTGTGCAGTGGGAGGGAGCTCGGCATGGTGGGACAGTGATAGAGGGATAGCATCACATGGGGCTGGAGGAGATGGTCAATGGTGAAAGACATGGCACGCATGGCCCCTGGGATTGGACAATGCATGGACCAAAGCCAGTTGTTCTCACGTTGACTTGAACCCACAGCTACCCATGTGCGTCAGAGTAGAGCTGTGCTCCTGAGGGTTTTCAATGGGGGATATTCCGGAAGCAGACCCCAGGCCTTGATTCCGCGGTGCCTCGAGGTGGACCTGAATTTCCAGCCTTTTGGTGAGCGGCCAGGCGTTTAACAATTTCCACCATCCAGGGACCCCGTCAGCCTGGTAACGAGTGTGAATTTAATCCAGAGTGCAATGGGGATCCTTTGAGGAGTATGTCCCAGGCCAATCAGCCCTTGGCCACCAGGGCCAACGCATAGTCTGACCAAGTCTGTGGCTCCCTGTCCCACTGCAGTAGGGCACTGTGCAGCTGAGGAAGTGCAGGGTGTCTTACAAGCAAGGAACAGGGGGCGTTCTTTGAGGAAAGGGTAGTCTGGGAGTTAGAAGCAGTGTTTCCATGGGCTCAGAGCCAAACAGGGCTGTGCATACAAAGTGGGGCATCAGGTCTAGAACACAAAGTGGACCCGGGCTGCTGTTTCCATGGAAACAATGAACTTAGGAGACACAAGTGGTGTTGTGTGCAGACATCCATCTGAAGTCCCGCAGCAGGGCTGGGCATCGAGGCTGCTTCTCAGCCCAGCTCCTGCAGGCAGGAGTGTGTGGTCCATTCTTCCCAGTGTAATTCCTGCAGCAATGGTTCTGAGGGGCTGGGGTTTAGAGAAGGAGCCCTGGTGGTGCAATGGTTAAGCACTTGGCTGCTAACCAAAAGGTCAGCGGTTCAAAGCCACCAGCAGCTCTGCGGGAGAAAAGACCTGGCACCCTGCTCCTGTAAAGACGACAGCCCAGGGATCCCTTGGCGCAGCTCTCTTCTGTCATGCGGGGTAGCTGTGAGTCAGAATCGACTGGATGGCACACAGCAAGACTGTAGAGAACAGAGCTTCTCTGTGAGTGAAAAGAAGCCATCGTCGAGAAGGGGCTTGCTCGGACACTCGACCGCCGCAGCGAGTCCTCAGGAGAAACCTGCTTCCTGCTTGCACTGCGCCTGGCTTCCCCTGTGTCGTTGCAGCCCCGTGAGCGGCCGCAGATTTTCCCAGACCAAGTTCCCTTTCACTGTCTCAAGTGGAGCACATTCAGGCACCAAGCAAACACACAAACATTAACCCTTCCTGCAGGTCGCCTCAGTGCTGGGGCCCTGACCTGGCCCTTGTGAAGCTGCCAGGGGGACTGTCCTTCCCTCGTCTCCACAGCTTTCAGTGCTGTGCATCACCATGGGGCCAGAGAGCCTCTAGCTCAGCGACAGGTCCCGTGGCACCTGATGGATGTCATTCCCCTTCAGCTGGCTGCAGAACCCTGCCTGTTCCTCTCTTCACAGCCCCTTCTCACTGTCCGCCTGTTTCCCAGGTGGTGGTTGGTGCTGGGTGCCATCAAGTTAATTCTGACTTATAGCACCCCCATGTGACACAGCAGAACTGCCCCCTAGGGTTTTCTAGGCGGTCATCTTTATGGGAGCAGGTTGCCAGGTCTTTCTCCCTCAGAGCCGCTGGGTGGGTTTGAACCACTGACCTTCCAGTTAGCAGCTGAGTGATTAACCACTGAGCAAACAGGGTTCCTTTCCTACGTGTGCCCATACCGTATTTCTCCCTCTAGACTTTGGATCCACTATCCTATAAAGTCAAATACGATGGCATTTGTGTGAGTTGTACAATTTATGAATAACATTGAATGGGAATTCAAGAACACTTGATTGTGCTCATGAGAAACCTGCACATAGAACAAGAGGCAGTCATTCAAACAGAACAAGGGAATACTGCATGGTTTAAAATCAGGAGTGGTGTGCATCAGGGTTGTACTCTTTCACCACACTTACTCACTCATGATGCTAAGCTAATAATTCGAGTAGCTGGACTATATGAAGAAGAACGTGGCGTCAGGATTGGAGGAAGATCATTAACCGCCTGCCATATGCAGAAGACATAACCTTGCTTGCTGAAAGTGAAGATTTGAAGCACTTACTGATGAAAATCAAAGACTACAGCCTTCAGTATGGATTGTATCTCAACACAAAGAAAACAAAAATCCTCACAAGTGGACCAGTAAGCAACATCATGATATGTGAAGAAAACACTGAAGTTGTCAAGGATTTCATTTTACTTGGATCCACAACCAACACCCATGGAAGCAGCAGTCAAGAAATCAAGCAATGTATTGCATTGAGCAAATATGCTACAAAAGACCTCTTGAAAGTGTTAAAGAACAAAGATATCACTTTGAAGACTCAAGTGTGTGTGCTGCAAGCCATGGTATTTTCAGTAGCCTCATATGCACGTGAGAGCTGGGTGGTGAATAAAGAAGACTATAGAAGAATTGATGCGTTTGAGTTGTGGTGCTGGTGAAGAATATTGAATGACCCGTGGTTTGCTAGAAGAATGAACACATCTGTCTTGGAGCCTGAGTGCTCTTTAGAAGTGAGAATGGCCAGACTTTGTCTCATGTACTTTGGTCATGTTGTCAGAAGGGACCAATCCTGGAGAAGGATACTATGCTTGGTAAAGTACAGGTCCAGCAAAAAAGGGGAAGACCCTCAATGAGATGGGTTGACTCAGTGGCTGTGAGGATGGGCTCAAGCATGGCTGCGATTGTGAGGATGGTGCAGGGCCAGGCAGGGTTTCACTCTGTTGTACATGGGTCACTAAGAGGCAAAAGACTCGATAGCACCTAACACCAATGCGATACAATTGCCCACTCCCAGGCCACTCCCAGGGATAGTGTGGGTCTGAGGCGGGAGCCCCGGCCACACCTGTGATTCTGTAATGCTCCTTGTGTGTTTTGGACACCTGGCTGTGTTTGGAACCCCACTCTGTAGTGCCCAAGGCAGTGTCTGGCACAGAGTCACATCACTGAGTCTCATGGATGAACTGGAACCCTGATGCCATTTACAGACGCAGACAATCCCTGCATGAGCAACCATGGACCCAGCAGGCAGGCCTGCCCTTCGCAGGACAAACCAAACCCCTCGGCCACCCTCCAGGCCGAGGGAAAGGCCTGCACTGAGCAGCTTAGGCAGAGCCACTTCCCCAGGTCTGCAGTGTCTCTCCTGTAGAGACGGCTCACAAGGTCGTGTATCCTACAGTGACATTTCCTTTCCCCTTTGTTCTCTTCTCTGCAAGACCCTCTGCACACTTCCCAGACCCATGCACGCCTCGTGGCCAGCTCCGCCCTGCCAGGTGTATGACGTACCTGCCCAGAACCGAGTCCACTCAGCCCTTAAGGTGAGTCTCATCCGGGATCTCAATCCATCTGGACACCTCACATTTCTTTTCTGCTTTCTTGGTTCAGATCTGTCTGCTGGAGCTTCGGTGGCTCCTGACTCCATAGCAACCCCAGCCCTTTGAGGCCACAGAGCCCAGTGATCAGGAGAAAGACAGCACTATTGGATTTCTGGACTTGTGACCATTTGTTACTTCTAGTTTGTCACACATATTTTATGTATGTATGGTGTATGTATGAGCCTGGTGGCACAGCAGTTAAACGCTCGGCTGCTACGGACCCACCAAGCCCCTCAATGGGAGGAAGGTGCAGCAGTCTTCCCCCATAAGATTTTCAGGCATGCCTCAGACACATTGCAGGGTCAGCTCCAGGCCATGCCAGTAAGGTGAACATTCAATAAAGCGAGTCACACGCATTTGTTGGCTTCCCAGTGCATATAAAAATGATGTTTGCTCTAGAACCTATACTGTAGAGCAACGGCATGATGCAAAAGTTTGAACTATTATGAGATTGTCAGAATGTGACAGAGACGCAATGTGAGCATGTGCTATTGGAAATAGGGTACCAACAGACTTGCTTGACACGGGCTGCCACAAACCTTCAATTTGTAAAAAGTGCAGCATCTGTAAAGCGCAATAAAGCAAAGCCCAGTGAAACGAGGTGTGCCCGTACAGCCTTGGAAACCCTATTTGGACACCTCTACTCTGTCCTAACAGAGCTCTGGTGGTGTAGTGCCTAAGGCATTTGACCACTAACCAGAAGGTTGGAGGTTCAAACCCACCAGCCACTCCATGGCAGGTAGACTGGGCAAACTATTTTCATAAAGATTTACCTCCTTGGAAACCAAAAGGGGGTCGCTATGAGTGGGAATTGACTCTATGGCAGTTTTCACTGTTTGCAAAGCCTTCTGCATCCATCCACCTCCTTTACGTCCACACCGTAACTGTGATGACTGCACCCATTTCACACGGGAAGAATCCGAGGTCCAGGGAGATGAGTGATGCAGGCAGGTGAAGGGATTTCATTCAGGCAGGGTACTCAGCAGCGTGGCAGGCCAACCGTAGACAGACTCTCAGACAGACTACCATCCAGGGTCACCTGGAGTGATCAGATGTAGTGACGGAGGCGGGGCTGGTACGTAACTTGCAAGACTCAGCATAAAACGAAAACATGGGGCCCTTTTTCAAAAAAGGAGGTGCTCTGAGGGAATGTATCATGGTTTGCTGGAAGAACGAACACATCTGTCTTGGAGCCCGAGTGCTCTTTAGAAGTGAGAATGTGGTTAAGGCATTGGGCTGCTAACCCAAAGGTCACCAGTTCAAACCCACTAGCTGCTCCACAGGAGAAAAATGAGACAGTCTGCTTCCATAAAGTTTTCTAGCCTTGGTGACCCGATGGGGGTCACTATGAGTAGGAATCAACTCATGGCAATGGTTTTGGTTTGTTTCAAAAATGAGGCCTAGTGATGCAAGGGTTAAGCTAACTGAAAGGTTGGAGGTTCAAAACCACCCAGCGGCTCTGTGGGCAAAAGACCTGCTGATCTGCTTCTATAAAGATGACAGCCAAGAGAACCCTATGGGTCAGTTCTCTGTCACACTGGGTCACTATGAGTCAGAACTAACTCAACGGCAATGGGTTTGGTTTTGGCTTGTCATGTGTGTGTGTTGTTGTTAGTTGTGTTAGTTGTCAAGTCGATTCTGACCATGGAGACCCCATGTGTGCAGAGCAGAGCTGCTCCATGGGCTTTCAGGGCTGTGACCTGTCTTCTGAGGTGCCTGTGGTTGAGTTTGAACCACCAACCTTTTGGTTAGGAGTTGAGCACTTAACCATTTGCAGCACCCAGGAGCTCCTGTGTATATTTTGGAAAACAGAACTTCTCTTAGCCATGCATGTGTCTATATGAGCATATATATGTATGTATTCATACACATGCACACACATACATATGTCTGTTTATTGGTTAAGTCTTGTAAGATATGTAGGGAGCTCTGGTGGTGAGGTGCCTAAGGCATCTGTCTGCTAACCAGAATGTTGGTGGTTCAAATGCACCACCACTCTTCAGAAGGAAGACGGGGCATTCTACTTCTGCAAAGATTTACTGCCTCAGAAACCCATTGGGGGTCGCTGTGAGTCAGAATTGACTCAGTGGCAGTGGGTTTTTGTTTGTTTGTTTGTTTGGTTTTTGGTATATAAGATATGCACCACGGGCTTAAAATTGATTCTATCTGAGGGGTGAGATTTGGGGCTTGTTCTTTATTAATGTGCCTGTGTGTGACAGGTACACTGCTTTTGTGAGGCATGCATTATGTGGCCAGAAAACAACTCCACTCACTTGCTAAGCCCTCAGGACGGTAGCATGGTGTGTTCTCCCCGCCCGTATCCTCCGGTGCAGAACGTGTGCTGTCAACTCGGGCACCACGCCAGGTGCCGTCCCCTTGATTCTGGCCATGGCGACCCCGTGTGTGTCACGGCAGAACTGTACCCTGTAAGTTTTGTTTTTTAATTATTTTTATATGATTTGGGTGACAGTTTACAGAGCTAATTGGCCAGAGGGTTCCCAGGGGCTGCTTCTTCGGAAGCAGATCACTAGGCCTTTCTTCCGAGGTGCCTCTGGGCAGACTTGAACCCCCAGCCCTTCAACCAGCAGCCGACTGCATTCACTGGTCTCCCCAAGGACTTAACTGAGGCAACTAGAGTTAACTCTCTTCATGGTTGGTGCTCCATCTTCTGTCCACAAGGCGCATTTCTCAAGCTTCACTAAGCGTGTAGATTTCCACCCTGAGAGCTTAAGAGTGCAAGGACTGAGGGCTGTAAAGTCCTCTGTGACCCGATTCTGTCTGGAGAAGATGCCGGAGGGGGGTGCATTTGTGAAATGCAGTCATCAGTCAGGAAGGAAAACGCAGGTTGTTCTCCTCTGTGGTCTCTTCCCAGGAGTGTGAGAAGCAGCAGTTATATGACATCCCACCCAGTCCCCAGAAGGCAGGACTGCGGCCGCCAGCCAGCCAAGCCAGTGTAAGTACGGAGAGGCACTGAGACTCAGGGCCAACCAAACCAGAGGGCCCTCGGGGAACTGTATTTGCTTGGTCAGAATTAAAACACAAATCCTTCGAAGCAGAGCTTCCATCCTGTGCGGCCAAACCCTGTGCCACCAAATCCACCTTGACTCCCGGCGAGCCCACACAAGTCGGGGGGGACGGTGCTCCACAGGGGCTGTCAGTGGCTGGGGTCTTTCAAAACACAGATTGTTGGGCCCTTCTTCCAAGGCTGCTCGAGGTGGTCTCAAACCTCTAACCTTTGGGATACCAGCCAAGTTAAGCATCTGTACCATCGAGGGACTCCCTCATGTGAGGAAAGCCCTGAATTGCAATGGTGTCAATGGTGTGCTGGAACAGGCCTGTTGTTGTTGTGTTGTTGTTATGTGCCGTCGAGTCGGACCCGACTCATAGAGACCCCTCCTTGGGTTTCCAAGGCAGTATCACTACGGAAGTAGATTGCCCCATCTTCCTTCCGAGGAGTGGCTGGTGGGTTTGAACCACCAGCCTTCTGGTTAGCAGTCAAGTGCCTTAGGCACTATGCAAGCCTAGCTATGTGCTTTGAATAAGTCATTCAACTTCCCACTGCCTGAGCTTCTTCTTACAGACTTCTTGGGGGTGTTATATGAGATATTTCCTTCAAGGACCTAGTATAGTGCCTGGCACAGAAATGAAACTCAACCAACATTAGATAGTCCCTTCCTACACCTCATAGACCCATCGTGGTAAAGTAGGCTTTCACTTGCAGGTAGGGAAATGTCCTTCTCCAGAAGGAGGTCATGCTTGGTAAGGTGGAGGGTCAATGAAGGAGGGGAAGGTCCTCAACGAGGTAGACTGACACGGTGGCTGCGACGATGGGCTCAAGTGTGGCAAGAATCGTGGAGCTGGCTCAGGACCAGGCAGTGTTTCATTCTGCTGTGCAGAGGGTCGCTATGAGTCGGAGATGACTCAGTGGCACCTAACAACAACAGGGGAAATGTGTGATTGTGTGACCTGATTTGAAACCTGTGTGATCCATGTCTACTACTGGATTCTACAACAAGGATAGTCTTGCCGTTGTGCGTTGTTGTGTGCCATCAATTCCAACTCACAGCAACCACAGATGACAGAGAAGAACTGCCTCATTGGGTTTCCTAGGCCGTGATCTTTATGGAAGGAGCTCTGGTGCTGCAGGAGTTAAAGCATTTGGCTGCTAACCAAAAGTCAGTGGTTCAAATCTACCAGCTGCTCTGCGGGAGAAAGGTGAGGCTCTCTGCTTCTGTAAAGATGACAGCACTGGAAACGCTTTGGGGCAGTTCTGCTCTGTCCCATAGGATCACTATGAGTTGGGATCCACTCGATGGCAGTGGGTTTGGTTTTTGGTTTGGAATCTTTATGGAAGCAGATCACCAAGTCTTTTCCCCCATGGAGCTGCTCGTGGATTCAAACCACTGACCTTTTGGTTAGCAGCTGAGTACTTAACTGTTGTACCACCAGGGCTCCTTTAAATAGCCTCAGGCCCAAGATTATTAAGAAAGGTCTTAAGCAGCTAGCAAATACATGAAGAGATGCTCACGATCATTGGCCATCAGAGAGATGCAAATCAAAACAACAATGAGATACCATCTCACCCCAGCACTGATGGCAAGGTTCAACAAATGTTGGTGAGGATGTAGGAAGATTGGGACTCTCCTACACTGCTGGTGTATGAGATGTCAAATGATACAACCACTGTGGAAAGCAGTATGACGATTCCTTAAAAAGCTGGAATTAGAAATACCATTTGACCCAGCAATCCCATTGTTGTTGCTGTTATTTGCAGTTGAGTCAGACCTGACTCATAGTGACCCCTCCTTGGGTTTCCAAGGCAGTATCACTACAGAAGTAGATTGCCTAACCTTCCTTCCAAGGAGTGGCTTGTGAGAGCCAGGCCAAGAACAGATAAATGCACACCCATGTTCGCAGCACTATTTACAACACCAAAAAGACAGAAACAACCTAGGTGCCCATCAACAGAAGAATGGATAAGCAAACTATGGTACATATACACAATGGAATACTACGCAACACTAAAGAGTAATGTAGAATCTGCAAAACACCGCATAACATAGGTGAACTTGGAGGACATTATGCTGAGAGAAATAAGTCAATCACAGAAGGACAAATATAGTATTAGTTCATTATTGTAAAATGTCAAGGAAAGGTTTATATATGGAAGGAAACGTTCTTTGTTGGTCGCTATGAGTCGGGGCCGACTCGACGGCACATAACAACAACAACAACAAGGGGTGGGAGGGGAGAGGAGGCAACAGTGCAAAAAAAAAAAAAAAAGCATTGACCCATGTCACTTTCATTTTGTGTATTTCACCGTACATAAGTTACATTTCAATAAAATGTATTTTAAAAAAATAAATAAGGCCTTAAAACAGAGGTGGCACTTCAGCTGGGTGTCAAGGGATGCCTTGGAATTAGATGAAAAGGGAAGAGTCAGAAGGGCGTTTGGAGCAGAGACAGCCGTGTGGGCAAAAGTAAATGAAGCCTGTGTTCAGGGAAAGGGAAGTGGCCTAAGGGGCTGGGTCTACCAGCAGGAGGGTGGTGGACACAGCAGGGGCAGGCATGGTGGGAGAACAGAGAAAAGAGACTCAGAGGAGAGTGGGCTCCGAGTGAGGACAGCAGCGGGAGGCACTGAGATGCTTGAGCAGGGGAGTGACAATTGGACTTGGAAGCAGCACAGCGCTGGTGCTCAGTCGGTCCTTGGTATAACACACGTTTGCGTATGAGCCACTCACACCCTCATTTCTTTGCTACTAAACTGGGCTCTGTGTGATTTCTCAACAGGGACACAGTGTTTCCCTGACATCACCGGTCATTCAAAGGGAGGGCTATAATTCATTACCAATCCCGCAGAAATCAGAATGGATTTATGACACTCCAGGAGCTCCAAAAAAAGCCAGTATGAGAAATTCACCTCTGAGCAGCTTGGTGGAGGAAAGAGGGTCCCATCCTCCGCTTGGGCTTCTGTCTGCTTTCCACAGTCCATCCCCAGACAGCAGGACAAGGTCCCTCAATCAGCAAGTGTATAAAGATGTGCCCCGGCAGAAAAAACTCAGTCTTCCAGAAATTTCTGTTTCTGGCCTTCCAGCCCCCAGGGGCACGTATGCCTGGGATGACGGTGTCAGCTACAAGGTTCCCTCAAGCTTTCTGGTTTTACGAGCGGAGCAGCGGAACACCAAGCCAAACATTTACGACGTCCCTAAAGCCATGTCCAGCATCCCTCGGGGTGTGAAAGAGCCAGCAAAAGCAGGTGGTGTTACAGAGACGTCCGGTAGCCCCACATGGCTCTGCACATGGGCCGCCTCCAGATCCCCTGAGCCCGACAGCTTGCTGGTTTCCAGCTCCGACAGCAGCAGGGCCAGTGTGGTTTCCTCATGCTCCTCCATGTCCACTGATTCCTCCTCCAGCTCCTCCTCAGAGGAGCTGGCCAAGGAGCTGTCCGTGGACCTGAACGTGGCCAGGGAGACTGTGACAGCCCTGCAGCACAAGGTGGCCAGTGCTGTGGCAGGCCTGATGCTCCACGTAAGCAGGAAGTGGAGGTGCAGGGAGTACCTGGAGGCCAACATCAGTGCAGTGCACAGGGCTGTGGACCACACAGAAGAATCTTTACGGGAATTTCTGGATTTTGCCCGAGGGGTCCAGGAGCTCACCTGTAACCTCAGTGACAGTAACCTCCAGGCCAGAATCAAAGATCAGCTCCAGGCCATCGCCTGCTCCTACCAGATCCTGCGTGAAACCAAGCAGGGCCTGGACAGCTGCCACTGGTCCCTCGAGGTTCTTGCGACAGAGCAACTTCCAAACGGCCCGGATGACCTCGAGAGGCTTGTCATGGCGGCACGGATGGTTCCAGAAGACGTCAAGAGGTTTGCCTCCATGGTCATTGCCAATGGGAAGCTCCTTTTTAAGCAGAACTGTGAAAAGGGAGAGACCCTGCAATTGACTCCAAATGCAAAATCTAAGCTTGAAAATTGCATCCAATTTCCCCAAAGAGAAACTGAGTCACAGCAAAGGAGTGCTCCTTTTAATAAACAAAGGGAACCTGGACACTCCCCTGAACTCGTCAAGAAAAACAGGACAAATGTCTGCGGGCAGGTGAGTTCACATTCAGGTAGTGTAACTAGGGAATGTGGGGTTGTTGCCGGGTGTGGTTGCCATGGAGTCAGATGCTGCAAATCTGTGTGGGACTTGGGGAGACACCGGTTCCATGTTCCAGAAAATGAAGTGCATGAGAGCAGAGTTCTAGGTGCAACTTATTAGCAAGTAAGACAAATAATTTTTAAGACATGTTTAAAAAAAAAGTTCCATCAATTCAGTTCCAACTCAGTGTGGCCTCATGAGTGGCAGAGTGCCATATTTCACAGCAATAATGCTCATCTCGTACAGTTCTTGCAAACTACACAACCCCCTTGCATGTTAGTTTCCTGGGCTCTATGTGTGGTGTGGTGTGTGTGTGCATGTTATTTATGTGGGTGTGTGATATACAAAAAATACAGTAGAACTGGGCTCTATGGAGTCTTCAATGGCTGATTTTTTTTTTTTAAGATCACCAGGCATTTCTTCCAGGGCACGTTGGGGTGGCCTTGAACCTTGAATTTTTGGTTGGCAGCCAAGGGTATTAACTGCTTGCACCACTCAGGGGCTCTCTCAGGCAAACGGGTTGGCATACACAGACTTCTGGAAACATTGGGAGTTCAGGTCTACCTCTGACACTGGTTCAGGTTTACCTCTGATACCAGAATCAGAAAGGACTTTTAAAATATATTTATAAAATACATTTTTAAAACTCATCATCAAGTTCCCTGCATTTTTTGCAGGGCATAAACGTAGTCATGGCTGATGCGTCCCTAAGAAGCAGAAGGGAAAGTGTAAACACTCCTCCAAACTGTTGACGGTCTCATTGGCCTCAGACTCTAGTCACTCTTGAAAACTCTGCTGGTTCTGTTCACACATTATAGGAAGAGAATCTTTAGTTCAGGGTCATAAGCCTCAAGAGATCCTAGCAGGGAACTTGGGGGCTGGGTCCCTACATCAGAGAGAAAGATGACACCATAGAGCCCGATAAAAGGGCAGCCTTCCTCAGCCCCAGCTGTGGTCCTCCGTGTAAATGCCCGGTGGGGTAAGAGCGTTAACACTTCCTAGAGAAGCTGGAAATCTGGCTAGTTTTAGCTTCCCAATTTTTAAACTGTGTGTGTCTGCATGTGGGTGTGTAGATTTACGGCTGTTGCTAGGTCCCATTGAGTCAGTTCTCATAGCAACCCTGTGTACGATAGCACCAAACATTGCCCAGTCCTGTGCCGCCCTCACAGTCGACACCACGCTTGAGCCCATGGCTGCAGCCACTGTGTCAATCCATCTCCTTGAGGACACGGACTCGAGGGGGGGTCTTCCTCTTTTTCTCTGACCCTCTACTTTACCAAGCATGATGTCCTTCTCCAGGGACTGGTCCCTCCTGACAACATGTCCAAAGTACATGAGATGAAGTCTCACCATTCTTGCTTCTCAGGAGCATTCTGGCTATACTTCTCCCAAGACAGATTTGTTTGCTCTTCTGGCAGTCCATGGTACATTCAATGTTCTTCGCCAACACCAAAATTCAAAGGCATCCATTCTTCAGTCTTCCTTATACATTGTCCAGCTTTCATATGCATATGAGGTGATTGAAAAGGCCATGGATTGGGTCAAGAACACCTTAGTCCTCAAAGTGATCATCTTTGCTTCTTAACATTTTAAAGTCTTTTGAGGTAGATTTGCCCGATGCAATACATCATTTGATTTCTTGACTGCTGCTTCCATGAGAGACTATGGATGGCAATCAAGCCCAAACTCGTTGGTTGTGCCATCAACAGAGCCTAGTATAATGGCATACATTGTGTTTTTTAAAAACCATAGCAATATGTGTAAATATACACACATACGCACTTTATAAATGATTATGATAAACAGAGAAAATATTGAAGTTGTCGAGGATTTCATTTTACTTGGATCCAGAATCAATCCTTTCGTTGAGAAAAGCCATCAGTAGACAGAACCATTCTCAAACACATAAGGTAAACAACAGTGAACTGTAGATTGTTGTTGGGTGCCGTGAAGCCGATTCCGACGCTCAGAGACCCTATGGGACAGAGCAGAACTACTCTATAGTGTTTCCGAGGCTGAAATCTTTACAGAAGCAGGTCACTAGGTCTTTCAGCAGAGTGGCTGGTGGGTTCAAACCACTGACCTTCTGGTTAGCAGCTGAGCACTTAACCATTGTACTACCCGGGTTCCTTAAGTAGGTATATAGTAGTGTAAAAAGCATTCAAGTTGGTAACCCAAAATGTTTATGCTTTTCAGAAGTTGCCCGACCTAGAAGAGAAAGAAAAACCCATCTTGGAACAAAGGGCAAATATAAACAAAGACTTAAGAACACAGGTAAGCTGCACTGCCCACTCTCCGACATTTCTCATTAAAATGAGAATAATGTTCTCATTACTCTTAGAGCCAGTTCCTCATGCTATGAATACTTCAGCATTGCCACCAAGAGATGACCCACATAGGGGAGACCTGTTTTGTTTTTCCCTTTGAGGAACTCTGGGAGTCCTCAAGTCCAGTGACCCTCAGAATGTGGACCCTGAACCACTGAAACATTAGTGAGATGGTCCGAGGTCCCTACACGTTTTGTATGGGTGGGCATCGAGGTGGTGGGAAACAGCATTGAGTCACTCTCCTTTAACATTTTCTTTCCACGCTTCTATCACAAGTAAAAGATCACTTGGTTTGGGTGTGTGTATCTGGAACACCTCTTTGATGCTTGATACTCTTCCTTTTTATGAAATCAAAGATGTTCTAATTGTGCTTATTTTTCAAGGCAGACCCTCTTTACTAGTTAAGCTAAACTATTGCTTGGTTTTAAGAAGACTCCAGGGACTGTTTTTGACTTAAAGCTTAAAGATGATCTCAGGGCAATAGTTTCAGGGGTTCATCCAGCCTCCATGGCTCCAGAAAGTCTAGATTCCATGAGCATTTGAAATTCTGTTGTGCATTTCAGATGCAGGATGTTCAGGATTCTTCTATGGAATCTTTGATCACAATGTTCAGTAATGGTAGCTGGGCACCATCCAGTTCTGGGCTCATGGCAGAAGGGCAGCGTTCACTGAGGCAATCAGCCACACCTTCCCAATGGTCCTCCTTTTCCTGACTCTCCTTCCCCTATTGCTCCAGGTGAACAGAGACCAACTGTCATGCCTTGGATGGCATCTTGCAAGCTTTTCAGCTCCCAGATAGTACACAACAAACCAGAAGATTCTACCTCCTAGTCCACTGTGCTTATTGTTATTGGTTACATCCTATCCGTAGAAAATGAATGTGATTTTCCATTACTGATTTCAAAAGCTTTTTTTTCTCATTAATTAAAGAACAATGAGTCTATTTAAAGACAAAGATTAGGCAAGTAGAGGTTGTAGAGGGAAGTGGAGAGAGGGCAGAACAAGGGAAGGCTTCCCATCAGTAGCTGAACGTGGGGAAGCAGTGAAGCCCATTCAACCACCTGGTTATGGGGAGGGGCAGGAGCCAGAGGGGCAGAGGTGGTCTCAGTGGCCCCTCAGGACGAGCACCCAAGCCTCCTGATGCTCAGTTCCCCAGCCCTCAGCACTAAGCAGCGGGCGGCCCTTGCACTGAAAGTTGTGTTGTTTTGTTCAACAGAAAGTATGCTTTAGACCAGTGGTTCTCACAATCACCTGTAAAACACAAACACCAAACCAGCTGCCATCTGGTCAACTCCAACTCATGGCAACCCTATGTGTCTCACAGGAGAACTGTGCTCCACAATGCTTTTAAATGGCTGTACTCTTTTACAAAGGAGCCCTGGTGGTAGGTAAAGTACCTGGCTGCTAAGTGAAAGATCGGCAGTTCGAACCCACCAGCCACTCTGTAGGAGAAACATGTGGCAGTCTGCCTCCGTAAAGATTACAGCTTTGGAAACTCTATGAGGCAGTTCTACTCTATAAGGTCTCCATGATTAGATTTGACTCAATAGCATTGTGTCTGGGTTTTTTATTGTTGTTGTTATTTAATCATTTGTAAGTAGATTGTGGGTGTTTCTTGAGGCACGTCTGGGTGGGTTTGACATACAAACCTAAAAACCAAACCCACTGCCATCAAGTCAATTCTGACTCATAGCAACCCCCACTGGGTTTCTGAGGCTGTAAATCTTTACGGAAGTAGATTGCCCAGTCTTCCTTCCAAGGAGTGGCTGGTGGGTTTGAACCGCCAGTCTTCTGGTTAGCAGTCAAATGCTTTAGGCACTATGCCACCAGAACTCCTTAAGTCATGCCATCAAGTTGATTGACTCATAGAGACCCACATTGGGTCTCCGAGGCTATAAATTTTTATGGAAGTAGACTGCCCCATCTTCCTTCTTCAGAGTGACTGGTGGGTTTGAACTGCCAGCCTTCTGGTTAGCAGCCAAATGCCTTATCCACTGCACCACATATGACAAATATATAGAGATTTGACTCATGTATTAACCATCTTGCCAGCAAGTCGACTCTGTCACGTGTTTCAGAGTAGAACTGTGCTCCACTGGGTTTTCATAACTGTAGCCTTTCTTGTTTATAATTGTGCTTTGAAACTTTAAAGTGTGAAGCAAATGTTGCCATACTGGGCTTCCTAAACAAAACCAGGCTTGTTCTTATAGGAAGTCTTGCAAATTAAGCAAAAACAGGAAAAGAGGGGTGACCGCAGCCTGCTGATTGAATCTCTTTCTCATCTATATTTTCTTCCCCTCCTCTAGAGCCCCAGCTTCCTTACACCCCAATCCTTGAGTGAGCAGAATCCAGAGAAGAAGATTCACCTTTCTGAGCACTGCCGACTCTATTTTGGGGCTCTCTTCAAAGCCATCAGTGTATTCACCAGCAGCCTCAGCAACAGCCAGCCCCCCGAGACGTTCATCACGCAGAGCAAGCTGACCATTGTGGTTGGGCAGAAGCTGGTGGACACGCTGTGCCAGGAGACCCAGGAGCGCGACGTGCGGAACGAGATCCTGTGCCACAGCAGCCACCTCTGCGGCCTGCTCAAGAACCTAGCGCTGGCCACCAAGGACGCTGTGCTCCACTACCCAAGCCCCACAGCCCTGCAGCACCTGCGGGCCCAGGCTGAAAAGCTGGAGCAACACGCACGGCAACTGCGAGCAGCTTTGGACTGAGACCTCCTCCTTCCCGTTAACCCCTTAGCTTCAGCTGCACATCTACGACATGTGCAACTCTGCCCAATGGGACAAACCAGGCTGGGGACACACCAGTGGACAGCCACAGCCACAGTGACTAAGCAACCCCAGAGGAGCCCTGGTGGCATGGGAGAAAGATGTGGCGACCTGCTTCTGTAAAGAGGACAGTCTTGGGAACCCTATAGGGCAGTTCTGTTCTGTAGTATAGGTCACTGTGGGTCAGAATTGACTCGATGGCAATGGATTTAAGCAACCTCCGGACACTGGCATAGCCCACAGGGGGTCAGAGAACACAACTGGCTATGAAGTCAGGACCCTGCTATGTTTGCACAGTGTCAGTGCAGAACATCAATTTTTACATTGGTGAAACACATACACACTTTCAACCCATTTAACACTTATGTACTGAGCACCTATTACATGTCAACTTCTGGGCGCTGGAGATAGAGCAGTAAGTCAGAGGTCCTGCCCACGTGGAGTTTACAGTCTAGTCGGGGAGACAGTCAACAATGGTGAGAAGGACACCACCATATGCCAGGCGATGATCTGTGCTGGGAGGAATAAAGCAGGGAAAGGGGAAGGGGGCTCATTTGCAAACAATTCCTTTCTGTTGCATCCGTTAGAAAATGTAATGCATTTTTCATTTTGGATGAAATCAGTCCTGTGATGTTGGTACTAATTATGCACACCTACTCCTCACTATCTCATTATGTGACAGTTTGCATTTATGATGATACCAAACCCAACCCGCTGCTGTCAGGTCAATTCCAACTCATAGGAACCCTGGTGGTGCAGTAGTTAAGGAGCTCACTGCTAACTGAAAGGTCATCGTTCAAACCCACCAGTCACTCTGCAGGGGAAAGATGTGGCAGTATGCTTCTGTAAAGGTGTACAGCCTTGGAAACCTTATGGGGCAGTTCTACTCTGTCCCACAGAGTCGCTATGAGTTTATGACGATAGTACAAAATCTACTCTGTGGCTATTCTGCACACTAACAATGTACATCCAGCAGTGAAGAATTCGAAGAGGTGAGGCTGTGATCGTTGAGGTTACGTGTCAGCTTGGCTGGGCCACGACTCTCAGTGGTTGGGTGGTTACTAATGACATGGTTTGGCAGTTAGGTAATGATGTAGTCATTCTCCATTGTCATCTAATGCCAGTTTTCACATTATGCCCTGGTCTTTGGAACCTAACCACATCAGTAAGTTAGGAGTGGGTGTATCTATTGCTCACACCAAAGATTTCATATATATATATATACACATATATATATGGGAGCTCTGGTGGCATAGTGCCTAAGGCATTTGACTACTAACAGGAGGCTGGCGGTTCAAATGCACCGGCCACTCCTCAGAAGAAAGATCAGGCAATCTACTTCTGTAGTGATAACACCTCAGAAACCTATCAATTGCAGAACAACAATTTTTACATTGCTGAAATACATACACATTTTCAATGAGTTATGAGTTGCATCCGACTCCATGGCAATGAGTTTGGTTTTTTTGGTTTATGTGTGTGTGTGTGTGTGTGTGTGTGTAATGTATATGTGAGGTCTGACACTCAACAGGACTGCCCTGCTTTTCCAGGTTTCACAATTTTACCACTTTTCTATCATTCATTTTATTGGAAAATATTTCTGTTTTCCCTCTCTGACAGGTTTCCACCTTACACAGGTTCTGGCTTTCATAAGTTTTACTGCATGTACATACACATGCACACTCATACACACACATTTGCTATTTCATCTTAACCTAGTTAAAGAGTATTATTATATTTACAGCTTAACATGCTCTTGGTTTCCCTATTAATTTATTTTTGGACATTATCGGTTCTGTGCTGATGAAGTCAGTATGCTCAATCAGAGAAGGTTTATACTTCAACAGTCTCAAATCTCCTGTTACAATTCATAATAGTGTTGAAATATAATCATGGATTCCAACATCATTTGCAGCACTCCTTTCTTTGGCAAAGTCTTAGATCCACATCGCCTGTGTTCTGATACTAAAGTCTCCAGTGTTTACTTTGGACATTCAAATGCTTCCTCTTGAAGCCTGCAGAGAGATGCGGTGAAGGCTGAGTGTTCGGTGCACAGCTAGCATGGGAAAAGCCAGCCGTCCGTGGTGCTGCAGCCAGGAAGGTGCAGTGTGGGCAGGATGCCCAGCGCCAGGCACAGATCTGGAAGTGGTGCAGAATTGCCCGCAACTCAAACCACCTCCTTTTCCTCCCGACAGCCATGCATTTATTTAGCTTAGTGTTGCTATGGTTACTTAATCCGTTACTTCAGGTGAAGGTCCGTATCTCTATACTCATCTCAGCCCATAAACACCTTGGCAACCTACAAGCAGGATTGCCCCATTTTCCTCCCGCAGAGCAGCTGGTGGGTTTGAACCTCTGACCTTCTGGTTAGCAGCCAAATTAATGCCTTACCCACTGTGCCACCAGAGAGATCTGAAAGAGCACAGTCTTTGAATAACTATGGTCTGCATCAGTTCCAACTCCTTCTGTTACACATGATAGAAAACCATACCCAATCTATCTTAAGCAATAAAATAAATTTACTGACTTAAGTATCTTCAAAATTCCAGATGTAGATTGGTTTTGAGTCTGGTTGGTTTCAGGGGTGCCCGAAGTGTCATTTCTTGGTCCCATTTTCTTTAGGCTGACTCCCATGATTGCAAGGTGCTGCCCCAAGTTACATCCTTCTCGGTTTATGTCCAAGAAGAAAGAACAGGAGACTTCTCTCTGCAGGGGCCTGTCACTGAAAGTTCCACGACACGCAGTGGCATGCAACGTGCTGCTGGACCTAGCCCTAGAGATACTCTCTCTCTCTCTCTCTCTCGCGCTCTCTCGCTCTCTTGCTCTCTCTCTCTCTCTCTCACACACACACACACACACACACACTCTCTCTCCATGTGGCCTGAAAGAGGTAAAGGAATGGGCATCAATAACCCTGAAGGGTGTGAGGTTTTTACTCCTTCAAGCTAATAAGTGAGCCGGCCGGTTTCATGGACGCTGAGAGGAGACACAAGCCTCTGGGGCCAGAGACCAAGGACTCATATTCCTCATAGCGTAGCAAACAGCTGGAGCTTCATTTTCACATCGATTGCCCTTGGCTCCCAAGTCCCGGGGAGTGATGCGGAGGTGGGCTCAGGTGGATGTCACGCTTGTGTCAAAGCCAAGGGAGCCGGCATAGGAAACTGCAATCTTTCGTAAGGGGCTTTGCGCAAACCTGACCACCTTCGTCTCAGAGGGAGACATAATCTTTATTACATTGGCCTGCAAGAGACCCGCCTTTGTGCTCCGGAGGGAGATGCTGTCTCTATCCTCCACAACTGTTTGCTACAAACTCCCTAGGAAAGATAGTCCGGAATAAAGTGCTGTCAGTACCCCAGCTCAGAGACCCACAGAGAACTGTCTCCCAACAGGGTCCTCTCGCAGAGTCAGGAGTTTGGTTGGAAGAAGAAGGGATTGTTGGAGGGAGACAGACAAGAAATGTTTACTCCTTTGGGCACTGCTCTTTCTCACCTAATAACAGCCAATGTTTCTTGGGTGATTGCTGCATGCTAGGTACCTCTCTAACGTTTTAACTGGGTCCTCTATAAGTAACCGACTCTCTAATAGGTGATGAATCAAACTGGTAATTGGTTTTAAAAAGATATATCTATACACACATATGTGTACACGTGTGGGGAAGGCCCTCAACAAGACGGACTGGCACAGTGGCTGAAATGACAGGTTCAGGCATCGCAAGGGTTGTGAGGCTGGCGCAGGACTGGAAGTGTTTTGTTCTCTTGTTGCTGGGAGTCGGAGCCAACTCGACGGCACCTAACATACCTACACACATATTTGAAATCGACTAAAACCAAGGAAACTTGTTCACAAAATACAAAAACATTAGGTTTAAAATAACAAAAAACATTACTCTTAGCTAACTTCATTTCCTTCCTTTTTTGAAAGAGGTTACAGGAGGAGCTTCCACTGATTCATTCAATTAGATAATTACTTCTGAAAAGGTTTAAAACAGAATAAAATCTTCTCTCTTTTTTTTTTTTTTTCTTGGCTTTTGGCAACTATTTGCTAAGCATTTTTGCTTAGCGCCTGGAGTGCTGTACCACTTCCTCCCGGGAAGGAAGGGGAAATGGTGGGTGGCGTGGTGGTGGCAGCAGCTTGGCCTCGAGTAAGTTCAGCGTCATTGGGAGGGTGGAAGTGGTGAGGAGCCGCTGAAGGAACCTTCCTGTGTGACAAGCTGGGCAGCTCTGTTTCTCCTTGATGGTTACTAATAGTTTACAAAACATTTAAAGAAAAAAAAACCTTTAAAATTGTTGTTTTTTCCTGCGTGTGCTTCCCCTGTCTCAAAGGTCGTCCCCTGTGTCTGTGCTCACAGAGTGAACCGAAGCCACTCCCTTCTGCATTTCATTCACTCACTGAAGCGAACACTGGGCTGCCAGCCTGTTTCCGATGACCGCAGAGGCTGCAGGGGACAGAACAAAGGCTCTGCCATCATGGTGCTTTCACCCCTGCCCAGGAGACACGACACCGGGGCCAGGACTAGTGGGAAGAGCATGAGGCCCGCGCCTCATGTGAGGGGGCGCCAAAAAAAGTCATCAACAACATAATATTTTGATGCAGCAAACCAAACCAAACTCACTGTCGTCAAGTTGGATCTGACTCATCGCGCCCCTCCGTGGGTTTCTGAGGTAGTATCACTACAGAAGTAGATTGCCCAATCTTCTGATGCAATATTTTAAAAAACTAAAATTAATGCAAAGTGGAGCTATGGAAGCTGGATTAGCCCCTGAAACTATTGCTCTGAGATCATCTTTAAACCTTAAACCAAAGATAATTCCAAGAGGTCTTCTTTAAACCAAGCAGTGGTTTAGCTTGACTAAAGAAGGTCAGCCCTGAGGCCTGTGCTCTTCCAAGAACTGCCCCTGTGGGGTCCCACTGACAACAGCAACTGGAAAGATTCGATAGGAACG